GGTGTTCATTTTCCGACGCTCCCAGAAAACAACATCTACATCATCATCTACAAGCGAGCACAGCCGACAGCAGCAACACTCACACACGCAGATGCACAGACACGCGCACAGACACCCACACTTTTATCGGCCAGGAATGTTCATCAATGACACTCAGATCTAGCTCAGGAGTAAACTTTTGCTACTCACAGATTTTTGAGTTTCTCAGCCAGATTCCCCCATTTTGAGTTTAGATACAGCCGAGTGTGTCTCATTTCACTGGTGTCTTCTTAGTATAGCGGAGCCATCTACTGTAAAGCCCCTCACACACTGCACTAACTCCATGGTAGCTCAGTGGTGGGAATGCTGTTGCTCCACCTCAGTTACATACTGTACATTACCAGAACCGGTCTCGCTGCTGCAACGTATAACAAGCAAAGCATCTGATTTTGTTGCCGTGTCGACTCTGTGCTTTACCAACTGCAAAGGCCGTCGTCATTTGAATCGTTGACGGGTTACGATTGGTTTTAAATGGCGCTGAACTGTGCACACACCTACACCGCGGTGTTAGCAGCCGTTCGTTTACTCATGTGGAGTTTAAAAGCTGCACTTCATTTTCACATAGTCGTTGTGCCGGCGGTTCGCTCCGGATTAAAAGTCAAAAAGGGAGAGCAGCATCACCCACTGCGTAAGTTATTGAAGTGAGAGATGACATTTAGCTGTAGTTAATTATGTATGCAAAACTCAGCCGCTCAGCTGCTATAAGAGGTCAGCTTGACAAAGTAACCTCACACCGGGGAGAATCTCATGGCAATGGGATAGCCCTATTAAAATACACACACAGAGACTTTTCCTCCCCTTTGCTTTCCCACTCCTTTTCATTTCGCCTGACTAATGTATTGTGTTGCATACAATATTGTACGACTCGCCTTAGTAATAGTCTATCTATTCTAGTCTTTCTCGATTTTTACATAATATATTTTATCACAACACTTTACTAATTTAATATTCACTGACGTTATTTTTACCATCCAACCTCAGACTTTTATCATATGTGGCTGCTTATAGGAGATTGTAGTTAACTCCACCTCATCAAATTTAGTAATATCCCCGTCATTTTGCAGTTCTATTGTAAGACTGAAAAAAAAAAATCATAAAATACAAAATTTTAAATTGAACGAATGGATGAAATTTCTAGATTCTGAGTCACATGCTCATTGTTTACGTGTAAATGTGCATGTGTTAGAATATATGCCAGTGGTTTTCCTTGTGTGTCTTTGTTCGATTTTGTGTGTGTGTGTGTGTGTGTGTGTGTGTGTGTGTGTGTGTGTACGTACAGTTCAGACTGCAGCACATCAAAAGAAAGTGGGAGATTTTCATAACTATTTTTTTTCTTTGTAGTTCTTTAATTGCGTCCCCATGGCTTTCTTTCCCTGGACAGAATCTTAAACAAAACATTCTTTTTTTGTGAGAAGAAAAACCCAACTTTTTCATTTATTTATTTATTTTTTTAAACAACAGACAAGTGTCAGGGTCGTTATTTGGGAGGAGTTTTTTATGCTCCAGTGAAAATTTAATATAAAATTCTAAATATATACTTGTGTGTGTAACTTTTCTCTTTCTTTCTTTCTTTCTTTCTTTTTTTTTTAATTTGCTTAATATTATCAGCCCAGCTCCTACACTTGGCATGTTTTGATTGCTATCTTTTCTGGTTTTTTTTTTTTATGTTAATTAACAGCAGACTATGTCGACCATGTCTGTTTATATAGTCACTTGAATTGAAATATTATTTCTTCATTCAGGACCTTAATGATAAAACCAGGATCATTTCATCAGGTTGAGTTTCATAATAGAGTAGCAGCAGTTGTAGACCCTTTGTTTTTCTGTAAAAGCTTGCTCTAGAATAAATGTATTACATACTACATGTAGTACCTGAGTATTAGTAGTGAGTGGTATGAGCGGTTATCGCTGATGGATGCTTGAAATAGATAATATTGATGCATCAAGTCACTGTGTGTGTGTCTGTGCGTACAACAAGCACACACACACACATTCACACAGATGCCTGGTGTCACCTACAGTGGTATCATCCCTTACAGTCAGGCAGGGATCATCGTTGCACCTGCTAATTACCATCTCCAGCTGGAGAGTTAAATGGAGATCTGTTCCGTGTCTGACCTTTGAACCCATGCTCTTTATGTGACGCACTTCAAACCCTGTTTTGGGCTGGCTGGGCTGGGCCTTAATGAGGCCCCATGTCTGCCCTCTGTGGGCTGTGCGCCTTGGATGCCCTGCTTTCATCCCCGACCATCTTCCCTTGATGTAAATTGAAAAGATCACAGCTATGGGGAGAAGACCTGTACTGGAAAGGCCTCTCTGCATAGATTATGAATATCATAACTCAACAGTTTTTTTTTTCCCTCTCCCACAACCACACACTCCTCTCTCTCCTCTTGCCCCCCCCCCCCATCCTTCCCTGTACAATGCTATAGTTCTAATTGGACCCAATGGGGGACTTTCTGCTTTTGATCTCATCACCGCCACTGTGACTTTACACTAAAAATGTCACTGCCAAATAGGGTTATCACCTGTAGAGCTTGGCCTTCCTCTGATGCCTGTACGCATCTCGTTAGCTTCACTCAAACTGTAGAAGTTAATTAGTTTGACAGGGCTATTACCGTGGAGGCATACTTGATGATTGTGGTGTAGGCAATTACTAACCATACATTTATTTTTTGTGTCTATTTGAGGGCGGTCGCTTTACAAAAATGCTGTTCTGGTATTTTGTCATTCACCGCTACCATATTTGTTATATGTGATAAATGAATTGATCACCAAATGGGAGTAAATAATTTTACATCATGATTAATTTTACTCATGGAACTTCAAACTTTATCACCCATTTTTCTCAAACACGGGAAGCAAAGGGAGTGATTGTGTACCCACCTCATTAAAAAGTGTCTGCCACTGCAGTGCTCTCACCCGTTCAAAGCAGCAGTACAGAACTCTGTGTGCAGAGTAAACTCCACTATCCCATCTCCTCTGACAGTCTTTGGGGTATGCCTCCTCCTCTTAGACTGACATTGTGTTCGCTTTGATTCTCCCCCCCAGAAAAAGACAGTTTAATGATTTGCAAGGATGAAAAAAATATGTGAAAATGCACACAAACATGAAATATTAATTCCAGAAAGGGCTTTACATAAACATAAAAGCATTTAGCACAATGAGTGAATATGGAGATGACACTTGTTAATTTAACCGTGATAAACTTTCTATTTGATGCCTGGGAGCATTTGCAATGGCACCACAGGGACGTTGTGGAGAGTGAGAAAGCCCAGGGGAGAGGAATCGACGCTGTTCATTTTGTCTTTGTCCCAGTTTAAGACTGCCACTCTCTCCATCTCACTTTCTTTCTCTCTACGCCTCCCGGTTTATTTCTGCCTGTCCTCTGTTCGAGCTGTGCTAACACTTTGCTTCTCCTCCCTCAAGTTTTCCAGATAGGCTAATTACAGTCACTCAGTCCGTGATATCCTTCTAACGCCGCAGCTTCACAGCATGATATATTTGGCCACCTCTCTTTGAAAATGACCAGATCAAAAACGTATCGCATTGCAGAGCAACTGGAGCCTTTTAGTGGTAGATTTAACCCCAGATTGTCTTTCTGCCTATATATACTGATACTAGTAATAACAGCATTCAAACTAGGATTATTAATAAATTAAATAAATGTTTCATGTTGTTTTAAAGCAGTGAACAAATCAGTCAGTAATAGGAGATGCATATCTGCCACATACACTGATCACACTCTGCTTAATGTTTTACTGTATAAGGAGGTGATGGAATGAGCTGGTGAAATATGCAGCACACTGTTAAATCTTTTAGGCAAACTACTAACCCAAAATTTTAATTTCACTTTATCTCCTCTGCATGGGCAGTAAGTTTTATAACATAAAAACACACAGAACATCCTCACTGGATCTGCACTGTTGTGGTGAAGAGCTGCACAGTTCTGTAAGAATCATTCATCTGAATTCTATGTAGATTAAGCATTGATTATATATATATATTTATATATATATATTTTTTTTTAGCTTTTTTGCTTTTATAACAAAGCAATGCAATGTTATTCAGGGAGGAATTACAGTTATTCTGTTTTTCACTAGTAAAGGTTGAAAGTTCTATTAACTTATCGGTTTTCTTTTAAAATCATGATTCAATTCCATGCAACCGCTACAACAGCCCACTCCCCACTGCATTCAGTAATATAGACCTCCTTTGCAACCCAGTCATGCTTTGTGCAAAGCTGGCACAGCCCACACAGAGAGTGGCAGTCCCTCGCTATCTCTGCCTCCTCCTCGCTCTGCCACTGCACAGTCAGACTACTGCTGAGCAGGTGAGGAGAGCCTCTTGACAACTTCCTTCCCAGACTCCCCAGGGCCCGGTGGCCGGGGTGAATCTTTTGTCATCCTGAAACAAGCTCGGGCCTGCTGCTTCTCCACTCTCGCCTGGAGTCCTGGAGACGGAGCCAGGAGAGAGGAAAATAATTAAAGACATTTTATGTCAAGAGTCCTTTTCTAGAGGGAGTCCGGGAGAGCCAACAGGGGAGGGGAAAACAAGAGAAAGAAAGAGGAGGGGAGTCAGAAATGGAGGGAGAAGCAGAAAAAAAAAGCAAGAGAAGGTGATGGATGGCAAAGCGGGGGTGGCAGTGCGGAGAGAGAGGGTGAAGAATGAAGAGTGAGGATGTGAGTTTCCATTTCCTCTCTGTTGTCCCCTCCTTCTCGCCATCCCCCCCGATCCTCTGCTCAATTAGCAAAGCAGCAGGTGCTTGCAGCAGCACAACAGATAAGCTCGGAGGAAAGGCTGAACATTTTCCCGTTCTTTTCTTTCCTTTTTTAAGATGACCTGCAAATGTGATACTTCACACCCAGAATGGGCTAGCTGTTTCCTCCACCAATTTCAGAGGTGATAATTCAACTTTTACCTCTCCACCCCTCCCACCCCCTACCCCGCCAATCTCTCCCTCTCCCTCTCCCACATTCTGTTTCCACCAGGTGTCCTCTCTGAAGAGCAAGCTGAAGAAGCAGTCGACGGCAACAGGAAGTGGTGTGGCGAGGGCCTTCCTGAGAGGGCAGGCCGCTCTGTTCGGATGCTACCGAGACGCCCTCAGATATAAACCAGTAAGGATTTACTGTCATAATTTCTGCAGGGATATTGATTGCATCACCATTTCATCTGTGGGCCAATATACACTTGAATGAATCTTGAAATATGCACTGATTTACCATAGGACCAATATTGAGGCACAGTGTTTAATCTAACCTTATTCCAACAGTTTGTTCATCCAAATAAAAAAAGGAAAACCATCTTCTCACTCTTGTCTCATGTAGTGGCTCTCAAATGTTTTCTGGCATGTCCCCCTTCAGAAGCCACAGTATGTTTAAAGCCCCCAGCCACACATTTTTTAAACCAATCAATAACAATCATCGTACTGAGGTATAAGTAGGTTTTCCCATCATATTAATGCAACTTGGTGTCATCCATCCCCTCATGCAGTGGCTCTATGTTCCCCAAATATCTTTTTACTTAGTATCCGTGTCTGTGATTTCCAAGAACATGCAAATATAACTAAAATGAAATGATTTGTTTATTGTGCTTCAAGCACTGCAACTTTGTCATGTTAAATATGCAACAAAAATAATGCATCTCTGGATAATCAATAAGCAGCAGACAAACGGATTCAAACTTTTTTCAACAAAGCTTTAACTTCTTTGAATCGCATTTGAATAATGAGACTATAGATATTAAGGATAAAGGCCGCAGACTGAATCTTTATCCAAAAGAGGAAACATTTGCAGACATGAATATTTACTCTCCAGAGTATGTAGTGCGTAGTTGTGATCTCAGTTTGTGTGAACCGATTTAAATTTCACCGTCTTCCGGTTGGAGCGGGGCAGTTTTGACTGAAGGTAAAAGGTGTGTTTTCAGTCAGAGCGCAGAGCTAAGGTGGGCCTGTCTGAGGCAGTGAAATGTCAGAGGAACTGAAAAGAGTCAGGACGTTCCCTTTGAAGATCCCTTTTAGCCACCTTTGGTGTTTTACTCTCCTTTACTAAGCCCTCCTAACATTTCTTTTCTATATCTTTTCTGCTTATCAAGTGTGAGTCAGAGCAAAGCAAACTACAGCATGTCCTGTTTGTCAAATAGCGAGGCCTTTGTTCCTTTGGCTTTGAGATTAATTGGACTTTGTGGACTACCGGAGTCAAGATGCTACATTATTGATGCTGTCTCTTTTTTCTTTATACAGACAGTATACGAACAAGCTGCCTCCCCTCTGACACAACCACTCTGTGTATGTGTGTGTGTGTGTATATTTGTGTGTGAGCACAACACGCATTTAATTCTCAGTTCGCTCACACCGCGTTTTCTCTTAGATGGTATCTGTATAAAAGCCTTGGAGTTTACATACATGCACGCACATTAACATGCACATCTGCATTCATGAAGATGCTGATGCTCCCTGTGTTCTGATATTTGTGGAACATCACTTCACTAGTTGTTGTTCTGAGCCGAGGAAAAGATCATCCTCGACAGAGCCGAGCGGAGCACTGTGGTTCACAGGCCCATATGCCTCGACAGAAGGAGGGGTGTGGATGCTTGGTGGGAGTCTTGCTGAGTTGTAAATGAAACAATACTGGAAAATGATAACAAGTTGAAAAGCAATCAGCTGATTAGAACGGCTTTTCTTAGGTCATCTGTTTCATCTCGCGTCGATGCTCCCCCAGGTGCTTCTCACCAGCTCGGAGCAGCACACATGTCTGGCACAAGAACCTGAAATAGCAATTCAAATTAGTTTTCACCACCATTGATGAAAGTCAGGTGGGTGTCTATATTTCATGGCTGTGCGCTCGGTACCTATTCGTGGCAGAATTTGCCAAAGTTCTACTCAAGTTGGCATGTACCGTTTCATATCTTCCAACTAAGTGTCAAAACTCTGCAGGAGGGTGGTCGGGCTGGATTTTAAAATAAGTTTAGACTCAAAGTTCTCCCAGCAGCCCCAGAGGAAGTTGACAAATAACGGTCATTTATCAGAATTTAAAATAACTCTTCTTTATGCAGATCACTAAACCCTTACATGTAAGACGAGTTAAAACAATACAAGTACAAGGAGTGAGTGTGTGTGTGGCTTTCTCTCCTAATGCAGTTACAGTACCAGCCCCAGTTTCTTGCTCTCAGTATTGTTTTAATTTAACTTTATTGACTAAATACAATTAAGACGGTGGGTTTTTTCATTGTCTTTGTTGTGCTGGCCGCTCTGGTGTAAATATAAAAAATTTAAATGAATGTTGGTGTCTCGTTGCAGTTGTGATTGACATGTATGTACCACAGGATTTTGCTGGACAATGATTTGTACACAGACACACTCTTATTCAAGTTAACTTGGAAAGTTTTTAGATGGTTTTTTAGTCTCTGAACACTTTTTCTTTTTGTAGCTGCAGCGTGGTCGGAGGCTGTAGCCATGTGAAGACAAAGCTGATTAGGCTACAGCTGAGGCTACTTTAAACTTGGCTTTAATACGCCTTAAAAAACTTTTTGTGATGTAAGTGGAGCAGTGTCTCTGTGATGTAATTTGGGCCACTGGTATCATCCCTTTAAAATGGGGTTAGTCTCCAGTGTCGTTAAGTTGTTTTTATGTGCCACGCTGTGCTCATAGCCTGGAACAGACAAAGCACATTGTTTTACACCAGAAGAATTTGGAGCATCATTGAAATATGTGAGAATTATGTTAATTATGAGAAAACATGGATTGGAGATGACCGTGGGGCTGAGTGTGATTGGCCTGCAGTGGTTCTGTTGTCATCCTCCGTGTCTATAGCTCACAGGCCAACAGACATGATGTAAGAAATAGTAATAATGTGATAATGTGTGAGTACAGGGGAGTTTACTGGGACACTGTCTTCTGGTCTGGGGGAGATCGTGTGCGCGCTGCCAAGGGAACATGTTATTTTATAAGGGACTTTTTTTTACTCTCCCTCCTCCTCCTTCCTGCCTCTTTCCTTCCTGTCTCTCTTTTACACTCATTTTCCATTTCAGGCTCACTTAAGCTCACTAATGAAGAAATCAGTTGAAATAGTTCTGTGTGAGAAAGTGCATAATGAAAGCAGACACGATGTGAGTGTCTTAGTGCTGTGAATTACATTATAAACCACAGCGCTCAGTTGAGACCCCCTGCCTTTCAAGACACCAAAAGCATCTGCCTTCCTTCCTGCGGCTCGTTTCTCAACTAAGTAAACATGGCGAAAAAACAGATTGATACAAAGAACTGTGAGCCAAAATGAATTAGAAATAATTGTGTGTTTTCATTTTTGCCAATAACGTCTCCCTCGACTCCTCAGGGGGAGCCTATCACTTTCTGTGAGGAGAGCTTTGTGAACCACCGCTCGAGCACCATGAGGAACTTCCTGTCCATGGCTGTCAACCTGCAGCTCTTCAAACAGGTACAAACATCTGTGTATATGTGTGTGTGTGAGTTACAAACCTCTTTTAAGCCAAATTAGCAGGTTTATTTAGCTGTTTTTTTAATGCAGGTAACAGCGATTGTCTCCTTTCCCACTCTCAGTAGAACAGTTTGCATCTGGGTTTATTTGTTTTTTTCCAACATCATGTTCAACGTCAAAAATGCGCCAGAAACTGAGAAGGACAGTGGGAGAGATTTGCTATTGCTCTTTGTTCCCAAAGAGATCTATACATTCATGTTTTTTTATGCGCCAATGTCCCGAATTTCATTAAGTGTGATAACGTTGTGCCAGTGTCCAGACTGCCAAAACAAAGAAAAGGACGAGATTTGGGTGTTGGCCTGGTTGTCATCTTTCCATCACTGCCGATTGGAGCTGGTGCAGATTTAAACCTCTGTCTGCTGCAGAGTCATTTGCAGATAGTATACATTCCCAGTGCAGAGAAAAAGACAGATGTTAGTGGGAGGGTGTACTCAGTACTCTGGAACGAGTAAAATTAGTATGAACAATGAGAATGTGGAAATCGTGGTTATATATTTGACTTTGACCATGTAAAAACAGGACCTAATTTTCTTATTCCAGTTATATACTATAGACTGCCGTCACATATATGTATACAGCATTGACACGGATGCACAGCTCTGTCCCTGTAAGCTTCAGCCGAGCACAAATGGAGAAAGATGACTGATAGAAAAGCAGTGCTTGTATGGCAGGCTACTCTGTCCTTTCCCCATCAATGTCAGTTTATTTTCAAGCTGTTTATTTTTTGAGCAGATTTTTATTTAGCAGGGTAAAAAAAAATCTTCAGTTTTATAGGTAAAAAATGTCTCTCAGCACCTCATGTGCTCAGCAACCTGTCAACTGGGTAAAGTTAGCATTTAGTATCTTGACAGTTCAGTAGTTCAGAGTCAGGAAAAATGGAGACGAGAGAGAGGGGGGTGGGGGTTGGGGTGGGATGGATGGGGAGGGGACCGGGATTATAGACGGTTATTGACCCCGAGAAACTGTTTACTGTGGTTATCTCTCCACACTCCTCTTAATGTGTCTCTGTTTGCTCAATTTTTACTGAATGTACAAACACAACCGTGATAAGTCAGGCATGTTAGAAATACTTTTACTGTACAAAACCATATCAAGTCAGGCAAAAAATGAACAGTCATCAGAAAGTAATCTACTAATGTGCAGTATATGTAGAGTGACGTGTGCAAGTGTGTTTTTGTACGGTTGCGAGGACATTTTAGCCAGTTGTCACGACTTTGACAGGCTTCTCCAGGGATAAGACTTGGTTTTAGTGTTATGGTGAAAGAAACAGATTTAAGTCAGAGTAAGAGTATTTTGTCAGTGAGTGTCCTCACAACATTAGAAAGGATGGGAGTGTGTAGGTGTCACTCATACTGCCCCTGCTGTGGGAACTAAATCTGTTAACTCACTGATATTATGGGGACTTCTTCCTTAAGGGGAAAAAAATAACATAAATCATTAAATTTTAAAGTGAAGTCACGTTTTAGGTCAGGGTAAGGTTAGGTATGGTGTGTGTGTGTGTGTGTGTGTGTGTGTGTGTGTGTGTGTGCGAGCGAGCAACTATCCTTTATTCATGCTTGGTTACACGAGTTTCCCCTAAAATCACTCATGTATACTTAATATGTTTTTCGCCCCAAATCCCTTCAGCAAAACTAAACTTAGCTGAGCCTGAGCTGAGAGGAGAGACACCTCTGGCTCCAAAGAAAATTTCCTCTCACCCCTTGAATTTTTCTTTGTGCTCTCTGACCCATGATAGTAGTGTGATTTACCCCTGAGAGTTTCTGCACAGCGGCCCTCAATCAGCCTTTTGTTTTTCTGGACACTCTGCCCATCTATAATTTTCCCAGGCAGAGCAGATAGCGAGCATCAGTTCAAAGTATCCTCCCGGCTGGCTCCTACCTCAGCGGTAGCATTGGGAAACAGGCCCTTATCTCCTCCACCTCCTCCTCTCCAGCTCGGGGGACGGGTGAGCTTATCTCCTCCACTCCTCTTTTGACTAAAGTGAGGGAGGCCAGTGGTCCGCCCGAGCTCTGCTCTGGCCATGACCCATACCCGTTCGCAAACACACAAATAATACTCAACGTGCCTGGCCACACACATGCACACATCCATTGTATATACATAAGCACATGCTGTGGGACTGGATTTGTTTTCTGTTCTTATCCAGGTTTTGCTATTGATTGTTTTTATACAGACTTGTATTTTATATATTATATAAATATATATTTTCTTCACTGTCAGTATATTTCACATTATTTATAAGCATATAAGTACAGCAGCTGTCTAACTGATCCCCCAGTAACAGGGAATAATAATGATGGATTTTTATTCATAAAAAAAAAAATGTGAATGCACAAATGTTGCATCATAAATATTACAATAAAAACAGGGATTAACCAACAGTAGCATGTTTGAAAACTTCAAACTTTTTAAAACTAGTTCATTATTTCTGCTAATTAGTTTTTCTGTTTTCTTTCTGTAATTCTTTAGCTTTGGTGTAAACAAACAGGTTGTGTTGCTCCAGTCAGGCAATCATCGTTACTGGACTTTAAACAGTTTTTTCAATCCATTATTATTTAATGATATGTATCATTTATTCAATTACACAATGGCTTTTGGGATTTTTAAATGTCACTTTTATGTCAAACCTGAATTAAATTCAATCCACATTTTTATGATCGTTACACCACGTGATACTGTAGATTTCACACAAACTGAAGTGCACACGTGTAATGTGGAGGTGTTGCCTGAGTTTGAGGTGTTACCGTCTGAGCAGGAAATTGTTAGTTCTTGAGATACTTTATTCAGTGTGTTTTGTTTTATTTCCCTGTAGAGCAGCTCTTTGGCATCATGATCAGCCACAAATAATCAAATTCGACTTCAGATTTTCATTTTTTTAATCCGCATAGATTTAACCAGATCAGGAAAAAAGGTAATTTTAATCATGTGCCACTCTGAAATATAGACACTGAGCCATCCCTGAAGTGAAAACATTCAGACACACCACTCATTATGTCACAGTTTCACCCTTTAACACACTTTTGCTCCCAGTTTTCCTCTCTGCTCGGTCCACCAGCTCTTCTCTGTTCAAAACAAAACAAGTGAGAGAGATCGTCCTCAAGACTGCGGAGGAAAACCTGTCTACATTAACCTGCTTCCTATCAACCATCCTCAGCCCCTACACACTCACAAGCACACATGCACTCATGCATCACTTCTGTGTGTACTGTGCTAGCAGAGACTGATTCAATGAACTCTTACTGAGCCACACTGTTGTTCATTGAGTCTGCAGGAGGTCTGATAATGTTCTGCCAGGAGCCTTTGGAGAGACAGTCAATCAATAACCATCCGTTGTTCTGTGTATAAATGAATGTGAATGAGCCAAAAGGTGCAAAACCAAAGAATTTGATTTAAAAAAAAATCTTATTATGTGGTGGCTCCCTCCACTTTACAGTCTATGTGACTCCATATTGCAGGAGTTACAATAAGCTGGTGAGTAGATGTTATAACAACAATAAGAGTAATGGATAAAGATGTAATACCACAAATGGCTGCTGCAGACTGGCCCCAAAAAAGCTCCTGCTGCACATAATTTGTTGTAGAAAGCTGCATATTAGAGCCAGTGAGCACAGCCTGAGTTGCTTATTTGGATCTTTATATTGGGGGTGATATAGAGAATGATTTTATTAGATTGATTGACATCTATCTCGGCATGTCAAGCACCAGTAGTACTCCTTATGCTTCCTCTCTTTTTGACAAATCTGGAAGTCCCTGTTCTAGTGACTTAGCAAAGATGGTGCAGGATTTTAATTTCACATTATTTACTGTTTACTATTGTTTGACCCGAGTTTCTTTGGTAAGATTAAAAAAAATGTAAATGTCATGAAGTGACTTTTTCTTAACACTGAGTTCACAGTGAAGTTTGTCCTGACTGAGACTCATCCTGAAATTAGCTTCTGTTTCTTTGAGAGCTTGTTTTTTTCTTCTAATTTTTGGTAACTCTCAAAACAAAGAAAATGAGCTCCTTGTTTTTCAACAAGTTGTGTTTGTGTACATGAGCGAGTGCTTGGGTGTGTGTGTGCGTCTGTGTGCGGTGATCACAGTCTGCCATTGTTGAGTAATGTCTAATTAAGGCCCACAGTGCGGCAGGTAATGTGCCTGTGGTGTGTGCAGGGAGATGGGGGAGGGGGCGAGGAGGTGATGATTTGGGTTGATTATCTGCACTAATTGGGCTCTCCAAGTAGCGGAGCAGTGTCCGGAACCTGCAGTCTCACCTCTCATTAAAATGATCTAATGATGAGCTTCCAGATCCTCTGACCAGAGGAGCGGGCGGTGGTGTCGGTCACTAGTTAGCAGGCTGTCCCTGTGGACACGCACCCACTGCAACACTGTTGTGTTACACTTTGGACACACTTGCAGAGGTGGGTGTAGAATTGCTACTGTGAAAAATCTGTTGCTGTTTTTACATATATAAGCATTTGAAATGTAGGAGGTGGTTATTGTTAATTAATGCAGTCATCAGTCAAAAATACATTTCAGCATTAAATCTAAATGACACCACTGCTGACTGTAAGCTGCTGTTTCCTCCCACCTCTACACAAAAAGTCCTGTATGGATTGTTAGGAACTTTTACGGTTTAAAAGATTAATAATAGATAATAATATTAGAAAGTTATATTATCTAAAAGAGGTTATGCAGTACAGTCATATGGGAATGAATGCAAAAGCATCGCACATAATAGAAAGTTAGTTTTTCAGAAATAAACAAAAAGGACAATACAGTATAATGCAGCTGAAACTTTCAAAAGTATAAGGATGTCAGTTAAGTGTTGAAGAGGTTTGTTGATGTTGTAAAACATTTAATAGGAAATTAACAGCAATCTGTCAGTCATAAGGTTAGATTTAAAACTGTACAATTTCTGTGTCTGATCTACGTTCACACAATTTTTTGCATTCAATTTTCATATTTTCCTTCAAAATGTAAAAGATATCTACATATACACTCACACCATTTTGGAAAAACAGTTTTTGCTTTAATGATAAAGATAAAAGCCATTGAATGTGTTTGTAGGTGATATTATCATTATTTTAGATTCCCCTGCATTTATTTGTTCATGCTTTAATGCTACTGTCTACTCGTGCTATTTTATTGTGTTGAGGCGTGTTTGTGTGCATGTTTGCTTTTACTTGCACAACATATTTAAGTGCGTTTGTGCTCATGAAATGTGTCTTGACTGTTGGGTCTATATTTATGAGATGGAGTTTTATACGCTCCACGTTACACAGGGAGGAAATGAAACTTCCTCATGTCTCAGACAGTGTGCAGCATGTCTGCTGCTCTAATCCCTCATCTGCTCCACATTACCAAATCCCTATTACCTGCAACCCACCTAATCTTGCCATGTAGTTTCCGTCAGGTAGGATTAATAACAGCCACTGTGGTTAGAGTGTTTGAATCTGTGTGTATGTGTTTGTTTAAGTGTGTCCACTTTCTCCCCCCCCCCCCATCTCCCTCCTTTAATAAGCACATTGTAATTTATGGTCGTAGTTCATCGACGGACGGCTGGCCAAATTGAACGCAGGCCGCGGCTTCACCGACGTGTTTGAAGAGGAGATCACAGAGGGGGGCTTCTGTGGAAGTGAGTAGTGCCGGGCCTGTCTATCAATTAGTCACATAATGCGTGTTTGCCATATTTCATGCAACAGGCAGAAGTTATTGTTTAACAGTGATACCTAAAAACTGTGAACATACAAACCTTTAAAGTTATGAAAATGAAAAGACAATTCTGTCGAAACTGTGAACCAGTTAAATATAAGAAAAGATAATAATCACAAGAAACTTGATACAAACACATATCCACTTGTACAATGGTTAAATATAATACAGGAAAAGATAAGTTATTGCTCAATGTTTAGTGATAAAGATATCTGCACTGTATAAAACTATTAACAATGTCAATTATTGTAAAGGAATCCTAATAAATGTGAATGACACTACCAACATTCAAATGTAAACCTCCTGTACAGTTTGTTTGCTTTGTTGGTGTTTTGTATATTTGTTTAAAAGCAGTAAAGTTGGAAAATAGAAAAAGGCAAACAACGATAAACTAGTTTAATAAACTAAAGTTGGTAAATTATATTATATACGTAAAATGTCAATTTGAAATTTTTCTCGTCCTCACATTCTTATTGTTCAGATCACATTTGAAGTCTTTTGTTTCTCATAAACACGCCTGTGACCACATAAAGGGCTTTAAATATTAATGTGCTAATTAGCTCTATTTTACTTTGAAGAATAGATTTAATTATTTATATAGATAATATTTTTCTCATACACGAGTTGCTCTCAGCTGTTCTCAAATCAGTGCAAAGCTCAAATTAATAGTAATAAATATATATATAATAAATTAATGAATCAGCTCATTTTTTTATATTTTACATCTCCAGTGTCATTTACATCAAAAATCTTTGTTGGAACTGATAAACAGGTGAATCTCACTGAAAGAATTAATAACATTTTGGCAGGAATGAGCTTTATCACATGTGAAGACATCAGAAGTTTGAGTGTGAAACAAATCCCACAGGAGCGCTCAGACAAATTAGGTTGTTTTGATCCTAACACCTTAGGTTTGGAGTCGTATTTACATGACAAGAAAAAAAGATCCAGATGTGTCAGATAAATACTCGTCATCATGTTATTATTAGGCTTATCTTTTCTGATCTCGACCCAAACCCACACTGTCGTCTGCAATTATCTTCTCTGAACACATGAGAAAACAGTCCTCCATTCTGCCCTCACACGTCCAAGTTACATCAGGGTTAAATTCTAGATCATTTTCAACTGTAAAAATTTTAATTTCTAATTATGGTTAGTAAAGGGGCAGAAAGGGCAAAAGAAGAAAACAACTTTTAACTTGAAAAGTTTACTGGAAAGAGTTTTAACTGAACTAAGGCCAAAGACACGAGTTTAGTTTCATGAATATTTCACTTTATTTTCTTCAGCCACTTTATAATGCCACTACATTTCGCTGTAATAATATAAAGTGATTTTTCCCACTATATAAAATTCTATAAGACCGTGTCACAGAGTAACATCCATAGTAACTTTGAAATGTTCATACTGTGCTATTGAGTGCAAAATGATTAATTCATATGTCCTGTGTTTTATACGTCCCCTCAGGTAATTCAAGGTCTTATCAGCAGTGGATGCACACCGTAAAGGTATTCACAGACCCCCGTGCATATCACACCTAAATGCTTTTATCTGGGGCTTTTTCTTTATGTTCCACTCATTTTATTCCTGAGTTATATTTAATTAAACGCGTGATTGACACGACTCCGTTTGAAGTCCTGGTGTTGCCTTCGGAGTGAAGGGGCTGCCTGAATGTACAGATCCAGCTTGAGTGCACTTTGGTGTGTGAAGCGGCGCGTGCAGCAGGACAGTGGAGGCAGACAGGGAGGGAGACAGAAGTGATTTGACGTGACAAGACGTCCTCCAACATGACATGTTGATCTGGCAGCAAACACAGGCGTTACTCCGCTGAACCGACCCAGGAACACAGATCTCTCCCTCCTTCTTCATCTCCTTCTGTCGCTTTCCTCCTCTCCTTTCTCTCTTTATTTCTCTCCCTCTTTTCATCTCTGTCACAGCCCCCCTCTGTCTCTCACTCACTCCCTCCCTCTCTCCGCACGCCTTCAGCTAAGGCTGAATTAGTTCTCTAGAGTGCTCTTCAAAGGTTTGTTAAAGTTCACATTTCCTGACTGACAGGGATCTATAAGAGGGGCCTTCACCTCGGCCCCTCTCCCTCTCTCCCTCTGCCGACTTCTGAAACACTGTCTGCCATTTACTCTGTTGAGCCGTTTAGCTGACGCTTTGTGCTTACACTAAAGACCAAACACTAAGAAAAAGAGTTGAGACGCCAAAAGGAGAGATGCGGCAACTCGGAGAGGAAAAGACAAGACAGGCACAGAGAGATATTGGGCACCGTAATGTCAGTCTGCAGAACTCAAAGTAGAAATCAATCATGCACAGTTCCTTCCATCTCTGTTTTAGGCTGCTTCTAAACCAACACGTCCTGTGGGTCATACAGTTTATCATGGCTCAGCAGTACGAGCCTGATCTCACCACGTTGTGGCTTCATATTGCAATACTCTTTGTAACTGCACCCCAGTTTTGGTTGATGTTAAAATTGAATCCTTGGGGTTGGGTTATCGTGCGGAAATATTGATTGTGGTAATGATACGTTTACTGTACATCACACTAATGTAAGCAGACAAATGAAATATACTACACACTAATCAATAATATGCATTGATGAGGCTAAAAGTCCTCATGTGTTCAACTAAAACTTAAATAGCACAAATTTAATTCCAGTGAGCTGATAAACAATGACATAAAATTACTCCCCCTGTATGTTCGTATACGTGTGCATCATTGTATGAATACATACACATATAGTGAAGGAATAGTTACCTGATACCTGATGATATTGGGTTTGAATGTGTGGAAACTCCCTCTAAATGTATTTCGGTGTCTGACAAATAATTGTCTTTGTCTATCACAGAGAGGAGGAGCACTCATCAACACGGCCGTGACAAAGGTACGTTCTTCCGCAAAACTGCTTATTAGGCAGCCACATCGTGTATAAATTGAATCCTCAAGTCTGGAGAAATCCATTGAAACAGACCTAGGGTGACATTTTTGCTGGTTCCTTAGAGAAAAATTAATCATTACGCAGGAATATATGAAAATTAACTCAAAATGTGTCTGTTGCAATTGGCTGTGGAGCGAGTGGGAGCATCGTTCATGACTAGTCTGCGTTTGATGAGCAGAACCATGTCGTTATGTGCCGTGCAATAGGTGGTCAGGGTGCCCTTTCATGTTATCGCCTCCTGTTAGTGTGCGAGGCTTTTCTTATCCAGCCTTTTGTCTCCGTGTTTTTGCCACAGGGATCAAAGCATTTCTTGATGTTACATGAAACCAGAGCAGAATGTTAATGCAACATGTTTTGATTAGTAATCTGTGTGTGTGTGTGTGTGTGTGTGTGTGTGT